TCCATGCATAAAATACTCTCAAAACAAATTTTTGATAAGTAACTGGTATAAGTAACTGGTATAAGGACTACTTTTTCTACCACCGACCGCACTCCTTATATGGTTAATGCAGGAAAAGTGTTTTGGCTTGTGTTTAGAACTATTCAGTCCTCATGCACAGTCGTAATCTGCGTCAATTTCTTCGGGGAAGAGCAAGGAAACACCCAGAAGCCGAAAATACAGTGCGGTTATTAGTTTTGGGTTGTTTTAATTTATCAGAAGTGCTTTACGGTTTCGTGATAATTTCAACGGTTGTGTGTAGCTGTAGGAATGATGTCTGCTACCCAGCGACTGGAATCTAAACACCAGACACTGGAGGATGCTTACTCACCTCCAGCCAATTTTCTTGAAATCGACGTATGTAGTCCCGAACTCCACGGTGAGGGGAAGAATCGTTACGTTGACTACGAAGTTAAACTTCGAGTAAGTTGCCTATTTATCATCTTAGTATCCCAGACCAATTTGCCAGTGTTTAGGCTAAAGGAGTCTTCTGTACGCCGTCGTTACAGCGATTTTGAATGGCTTCGAACTGAACTTGATAGAGAAAGCAAGGTACATCATTTAGTATATTTTGGTTGTTTTTCATTACATACTTTTTTTCTGAGTTTTTCTCCGCAAAACTTTGACTTATGCATGCTGTAGTTGTTTCAAGTTCGTAAGAGTAAATTCAGTTGACATATGTAAACTGCCTATTTCTTTACTGCTTCACTTTTGTGACTTATTAGTCAATATCGTTTGGTCCAAAGCGCGCACTGCAGCGCCGCAGTACTTCGGTTCATATTCGGCGTGTATTCCAATAAAATATCTTTAAAAAGGTAGATTTCGACGCGCGTAAGTAAAATATATTTTCTATTCCAGTTTAGAAAAGGTCGCCTTCCTATTCTGTTGTGAGTGCCCACATGCATGATCATTTAGCGAGTGCTTAGTTATTTCTATTTTGGGCACTCCAAGCAGAATATACTAAATATGATACTACCATTATTGAATTCAAATAGGACAGCTACATTAAATGACTAATGCCCACTCATATTCACTCTAGAAAGAACAAAGTGTCTGACAGGCTGATGTTATTTTGACCTTGCCCTCTCATCAAGTTCAAGTCGTTCTTTAACAGGTTCCTTTATGTTTTTCTAAGTCTTTTACTATCATATTATTGGGGGGGACCTCAGCGAGATTAAGGTGTTTCCATTTGTCCAACCCTACATTGCAGGCAGAATCGATCATACCAAAAAAGGTTGGTATTCTGCAATGCATTTGGTCAGCGAATCTGTTGGATGACGGCCTACGTTTTGAATATTTCGGTGCAGCTTGTAGTGTTATTTTGCACTGTGGGGCGTTCTTGGTCCTCGGCAAGATATTACGTGTTCATCGTCCTCACTAGGATGATAATTATTTGGGTTGAAACTTGCAGGTAGAACTGAGCAGTTCTGGCAATATTGAATAGCGGGTGCTTATTCAAGATACCTGTCTGTTAGTCCGGGAGCTGGCTTCTGGGAACGCCAATGAGTTAATGTTGTTGAAAGAAATAAGCGGGCCCTCACGTCGGGCTAATAAGCATTGCAGAGCAGCAAGAATACGCTAGCGCGACCTCTTAGGCCGAGATCTAGTACACCAATTGTCTTCCAGATAGCAAACGAACTTTTTAACGTACGTCGAACATAGCGACCATTAACTGCCGTTCAACGTTAAAACTGCCTACAATTGTCTTGTCAGGTTGTAGCGAGTCAGGGCATTACAAAAGACAACCTCGAAGAGTCTATTCATGTAGCTCCACTTCTGCAAAATATATCGTGAAAAATAGTGCTCAAACGTGCTATTTCACTTCATGCTTCTATCCACAGGAATGACGCACTGCGCAACCCTGGCGCGGTATATTTGCTGGATAGTCATCAAACTAGACAATTCATTCGGAACAAATTCTTTGTAGCAGACGCTAGCACCAGTCAATCCTATTATACTATTCCTGACAGTGTACAGTCTCCATTTTGAAATGCAGATCCACACCATCTGTCCGAAATGCAAATCCTAACCGATTAGTCCTCAGGAGTAAGAATCCTCTGGGTGAATTCATCCAAAATACCTATTTTCACGGAAATGGGCTCCTATAACAGCGATGCCCGAGCATCCTACCAACATAGGCCAAGAGTTATTTTCGGCCTGGGTCTTTGACCGAACTACTATGAAGTGGCCTATTTATCCGTCGCTTACTTACCACTCATTGTGCTATCCCTGTAAAACTGTGATTTTATTCGGCCTAGGAAACATGACTGTCATAAAAAAAATGCTAGGAATGCTGCTAGTTTATCTCTGCCTCTCAGTGACTCGAATGCGTGGGTCTGCATGTTCAAGAAGATAATACAGTGT